GAGACCCGGCTGAGAGCTAAATGGACCACAGGACCATCCATGGGAGGGAGGGATGCCCCAGATGTGGAGACGGGAAAGAAATAGACCTTAAAACCAGGCACTCCAGGCACGGGAGCTCATCCAGGGAAGATGAATCCTTTGTAAATCAGAAAAGTGTAATTTCACTAGTTCTTATAATTAGCGTGGCTTGACACCTGGGGGTGAGGGCTCAGCTTTGGGAGAGCCAGGAGGACAACAAGAGACTGACTCCCTGCCACTACACAGCACAACAAACAGCCCCATGGAGATACAACGTAGAAGCAGCAATCTGAAAAACACACTGGTATACAGGAGGGAGCCTGTAATCTCAGAGCATGTTGTAGGGGGGCAGGGATTCTTGGGAGGCTTCTGCAAGAACAAAGGACCTGGTGAATGCCACCTCGCTCCTCCACCCCCCCTCCCGCCTAGACACAGGGACACCTGCAGGAGCCAGCTGAGCACAACACTCTCGAGCTGGCTTGACAACAGCATGCACCCGGTCCCCACACTTCTGTGGATCTGCTCCCTCCAACCCAAAGGCCTTGGCAGGGGTTTTGGGTGGCCACAGGTCCCCTCCCACATGCACCCCCCCATTTTCCGGTGGACCTGCTCCCTCCAGTACACCCTTAGCCAGCGCCCATCCAAAGCTGTGTTACAAGCCTGGCAATGTACAAGCAGCCCAGACAGGGAACAGCATTGCTCCTGCCCCAGGGAAAGGGGAAGACAATGGGCTGGGAGCAGACAGCTGGTCGGACTGCAGGCCCAACCCACCAACAGAAGCTTCTTGGGACAACACAAGGAAACTGCCCAGTAGTTCGGTGCTACTGCATCTGTGGCAAACACCTGGTCTGACTCAACTCAGGCCAGATTGTAGCCCCAGACTGGCCCACTGACAACTCAGGGACCAAACCCTGCCCACAATAGGCAAAGAGCCATTGCAGATGATTGGACTGAAGCCACTAAAAAGGGCACTCACAACACACAAGAGACATCCCGCTAAGGCACCAAGTTCTGGTAAACAGGGGACACTGCACTGCAGGGACCACAGGACATCTTCATAAGGCCACTACTTTCAGGAGCAGGGGAGGTAGCTGACTTTACTAACACCTAGAAACAGGCACAGAGAGACAAAAGGAGATAAAGGAATATGCCACAAATGAAAGAACAGAACAAAATCATAGCAAGAAAGCTAAATGAAGTGGAGCAAAGTAGTACATATGCCTGATAAAGAATTTATAGCACTGGTCCTAAAGATACTCACTGGATTGGAGAAAAGAGTAGAGGACCTCAGTGAGACCCTTAACAAAGAGACAGGAAACATAAACAGAACCAATCAGAGAGAAAGAACTCAATAAGATGAAATAAACAGTGGACTAGAGGAAGCAGAATAACAAATCAATGACATGGAGGACAGAATAACAGAGAGCAATCAAGCTGAACCGGAGAGAGGAAAAAAACAACAACAAAAAACCAGACTTAGGGAACTCAGCAATACCATCAGCATAATAATATTCACATCATAGGAATCTCAGAAGAAGAAGAAACAGAAAAGGGGGCAGAAAATTTATCTGAAGAAATAACAGCTGAAAACATCCCAAATCTGGAGACAGAAACAAAAATCCAGATCCAGAAGGCACAGAGAGCCCCCAACAAAATCAACCTAAGGAGGTCCACACCAAGACACATATTAATTAAAATGCCAGAAGTAATAATAAAGAGAACATTTTAAAAGCCAACTTTACATGTCTGTTAATTAACTGAGTATTATAAATTATATTGTTTAGATTTAGGTGTTACTTAATTTTGGTTCACCTTATGTCAAAAACCAGTAAGGTTATGTGAAAATCTGTTAGTATGACTATGTTTGTCAATATATTTCTGTAAACTTTGCTTTATGAATTCAGCCACTGTGTAATTTGATGCATATAACGTATAGCACTATTATGTCGTTGCCAATTAAATAAACATAAAACACCAACCACAATGCCAGGCAGTAGTAGCCATGTAATAAACCTTAGTTTAAACCTGAAAAAATATATAAATAAATAAATAAAAAGTTGCAAGAGAAAAAAAAAAAAACAAAAACAGTTACATACAAGGGAAATCTCTTGAGGTGATTTTTCAGCTGAAATTCTGCAGGCCAGATATTATTCAAAATGCTGAAAGGAAAAAACCTGCAGCGCATAATACTCCTTCCAACCAGGCTATTATTCAGAACAGAGCAAAAGAATTTCCCAGACAAATGAAGGAATTCATGACCACTAAACCAGTCACACAAGACATTTTAAAGCGTATGCTCTCAGCAAAAAGGAAAGATAATAAACAGGAGTAAGAAAAGCAGGAAGGATAAAAGTAGTAAAATTAAGTGTATCTATAAAAATCAGTCAAGCAATTCACAAAATAAAAGGATGTAAAATATGACACCATATACTTTAAATGTGGGAAGTCAGAAGAGTAAAGAATGGATTCAAACTTAAGTGACCATCAGCTTAATATAGACTGATATAAACATAAGATGAAACCATAAAACTCCCAAAGGAAAAAAGGAAGCAAACTCTAAGACAATGGTCTTAGCAGTATTTTTCTGGATATATCTCCTAAGGCAAGGGCAACTTAAGCAAAAATAAATAACTAGGACTATACCAAAGTAAAAAGCAAAGGAAATTAACAGAATACCTGGGTGGCTCAGTTTGTTAAGTGGCCAACTCTAGATTTTGGCTCAGGTCATGATCTCATGGTCCTGAGTTCAAATCCTACATTGGGCTTTGCGCTCACAGCATGGAGCCTGCTTTGGATCCTGTCTCCCTCTTTCTGCCCCTACACTGCTCATGCTCTTCCTTTCTCTCCCTTAAAAAAAAAAAGGTAAATTATCAGCAAAACAAAAAGGTAACCTATGGGTGGGAGAAGATATTTGTAAATGATATATTTAATAAGGGGGTAATATCCAAAATATGTTTTTTAAAAAATCATACAACTTGTTAACACCAAAAACCCTCAAATAATACAATTGAAAATGGGCAGAAAACCTGAATAGAACAGTTCCCCAAAAAAGATGGCCAACAGACACATGAAAAGATGCTCAATATCACAAATCACTGAGGAAATGAAAATCAAAATCACAATGAGACATCACCTCACATCTGTCAGATTGACTAAACTCAAAAAGATAAGAAATAACAAGTGTTGGCAAGGATGTGGAGAAAAGGGAACCTCCACACACTGTTGATGGGAATGTGAACTGGCACAGCAACTATGGAAAACAGTATGGACGTTCCTCAAAAAATTAAAAACAGGAATACCACGAGATCCATTTCTGGGAGTTTACTCTCTAAAAACCAAAAAGAGATTCAAAAAGATCTATGTACCCCTATGTTGACCCCACCATTTTTTAAAATTTTTTAATGTTTATTCATTTTTGAGAGACAGAGAGAGAAAGAGTGTGAGCAGGGGAGGGGCAGAGAGAGAGATACAGAATCCGAAGCAGGCTCCAGGCTCTGAGCTGTCAGCACAGAGCCTGACATGGGGCTCAAACCCACAAACCGTGAGATCATGACCCAAGCCAAAGTCGGATGCTTAACCGACTGAGCCACCCAGGCACCCCTACCCCACCATTATTTACAATAGCCAAGATATGGATGCATTCTACATGTCCACTGATAAAGATGATTCAGTATATAAATAGACACAAAGAGGAATGTTACTCAGCAATAATTTAAAAAAAAATGAAATCCTGACATTTGCAACAACATAGATATATATGGTATTATGGTAAATAAAGTAAGTCGGAAAAAGACAAATACCATGTAATTTTACTTATATGTGAAATCTATATAACAGAAACAGACTCACAAAGAAAAAATGATAGTTGCCAGAGGAGAGAGGAATGGGAAGAAGAGTGAAACAGGCAAAGGAAATTAAGAGGTACAAACTTCCAGCTATAAAATAAATAAATCACAGTGATGTAAGTACAGCACAGGGAATACAGTCAATACTGTAATAACTTTGCATGGTAACAGATGGTAATTACACTTTTTGTGAACATTTTTTAACGCATATAAATGTCAAATGACTATACTGCACACATGAAACTAATATATTGTACATCAACTATACTTCAATTAAAAATAAATTTTAAAAAATACATTGGTGGATTAAAGGAGAAAGTGAGGTCAAATCTATAATTCTCTCTGTGGCTTAAGTGGAAACTATACTGTAACTGAATAAACCTCCCAAAGGAACATTTACGTTCATGACTGTTCATTTAACTACTTCTGACTCTCTTCATCAAGAGAAACTTGTCCAAACATATTACCCGGTTTGCTTTGCAGCCGTATTTCTAAACTACATGTGATTCTACTTTTTTACCACCAGATTTTTGTAATCTGGAATCTGATTCTGTATTACTACTGATGAGCTTCCACTGACATTTTATTTTGAATCACTAAAAGCATTAATATTGATTGGTGATGATTCACAGCCTAGAGGCCTATGCTCAGGAAAATGCATCCATTTTACCCAAATTATGGATTAAAGTGCCCCAACTTTTGTACTTCTAGAAGGTATACACTAGACATAAATTACAGCTCATCTCTACCCTGTGAAATGCAGGATTATGAGTTCACACAATTAATCTGAGTATTAGTGATTAAAATAATTTAAAAAAAAATAACAGTTGAGCGTCCAACTCTTGATTTCAGCTCATGAGATCCAGCCCCACAATGGGCTCTGCACTGATAGTACAGAGCTTGCTTGGGATTCTTGCTCTCCTTCTCCCTCTCAAAATAAATAAATAAACATTAAAAATATTTAAACTCAGTTTTACTGGACAGTTTAGGACCAAGAATGTGCTATGGATTTTCTGGCCAATAGTGAACTTCCTCCTCAGCCCCATCCCCAGCCTGAGAAAACAGCCTCCAACAAAGAACAGGAGATACCTTTTGCTCCCCTTTACTGAATAAACATAAATTCAAAACACATGGTGGTACTGCTGAAATATTATCAAGTGATCTTTATTTCACAAAATTATTTCCATTAAAATTATTTCATATGCCACTTTTACTAGATGATACTATATAAATGAAACACAACTGGCCAATTCACAAATTACCCGCTTTAAGTCATTTCTTATACTCTGAGGTTACACATCAGACAGCATTTGTTCCCAAGCCTGAGTAATGTAATGTTCTTGTACTGACGTGAATTTGGACTTTCCTATTAGGCTGAATATGCATTACACCAAAGGAGCTTCTGAACCATCTGTCACACCTGTCCCAGGAAGAGGCTTAGATCTTCTGTGATCTTTTGTGGTTTTCCTTAGCCCATTACTGAATCACTTAGCCAGACTCTGAAAACCATAGCCTACAGGGGATGAAGTCTACTGTCATTACAAACGATAATGAAACAATAAAATTCTAAGTATTTTAGGAAATAAGATTTTTTAAATGAGGAAAAGTTCTGCATGAGACCTAGGTTACTTTTCTATTGCTGCTTTAACAAATTATCACAAGCTTAGTGGCTTACAACAACACAATTTTATCACCTTGAAAATCTATTTGTCTAAAGTCCAACAGGTCTCAGGGGGCTTACCCTCAAAATGAAGTGCGAGCAGGGCTTTATTCCTTCTGGGCTCTGGGGGAAGATTCTGTTTTCTTGCCTTTTACAGCTTTTAGAGGCCACTTGCATTCCTTGGCTCCTGGCCCCCTCCTCCACCTTAAAACCAGCAACAACTTGTCTAATTTTTCTTACAAGTCTCTGACATTTCTGCCTCCCTCTTCTACAGTTAAGGACCCCTACGATTAGGCTGGGCTCACTCAGATAATCCAGGATATTTTAAGGTCACCTGATTAGCAACCTTAATTCCATCTGCTACCCAAACTCCCTTTTGTTTCCTAACACATTCACAAGTTCTGGTGACGGGGACAAGGGCATGTTGGGGGGTATGGAAACTCATCATTCTGCCAATCACAAACCTAATTCTAAGTTACTGAAGTTGAATACACAATTTCTTTTAGAGAACTCTGTCTATCTAGTAAATACTTTTGATGGGCCTAGTTCCAGAAAGAGTCTCAGGGTCCATTAGGCTAAGGCAGAAACAGCAGGAATCATCCCAAGGAATACAGTGGGTAAGAATCATGAGGTTTCACAGACAGCTGGATAAGGATAACTGTAAGTAGGGAAGGGCCCTGTCAGGAAAAAAAAAGTTGATCAGCTGAGAAATCCCTGAGGGACAAACAGCCAACAAGTTTGAGAACAGGGCTGTTACATATTCAACCAAGACCTTGACTGTGCTATATATGTCCCCTCTCTCCTGCCCTGGTTCTGAGTAAATGTCCCCAAACCGCCTTGTTTCGGTGGAGCGGTGGGGCAGAGGTGGCACAAGCCAATGTTGTTTAATTTGCAAAGGAGAGGAGCCCAGCTAACCCAGGACACTGCGAGAGTAAATCCTCTTGGGACTGTAGACTGCTGCAGGACAGAGACCCGTTAACTTGACAAACAGTGATCTGTACCGGCAGGAGCAGCAGAGGGAAGATAAAGTACATTCTGTGGACACTGGACATCTTGCTGTCTTGGCTGTTCAATCTTCTCTGGCAAGACCCCGCTTTAGGAACAGCCTATAGTAAACCTTCCCCTGAGCCAGTAGAACTCTTCAGCTATGGGGATACATGGAGTTTGAAAGTCAAATCCTATTACAGACTATACTAAATGGTAGGAGGGGAAAGGTCTGACCATTACATCCTAATGAGAACTATCACTATGAGGACAAGACAGTGGACAATCGATCAGCCACTCTCCAGAATCACCCAAGAGATGGCCACACACAATCTTTCCTGATACACCAAGGCAGGCCCTAACTGGAATAAAACAATTCCAGTTTTATCTCTCAGCAAGATAAAAACAATTAGAGAAGCAGACAGTAGAGCGAGTAAATCCCTGGAGTGTTGATCAAGGCCAGGAGAGATTTAGTCCCCTGTGAAAGGACAAGGTTCTCTGAAGGAGCTAACTCAATTGCAGAACCTTACCTTCTGGGCATTTAGATGGCCTCTTCCATTATGTTTCTCAAAGTTGAATCCATCAAAGGCCCAATTCACATTCTGGGTGATGCAGCCCACCCAAGATATACCTAGCATAAAAATGTGGGACTCTTGACCCAGCCAATGTTTATTAGTCACGGCAGGCCTCACCTCTACCCACCCGGTGAGACAGTAGTTGACCCTGTTTTTCTCATCAGCATCTCTTCACTCCTCCTTTCTGATTTGCCTGAAGTGAATCTTCCTCCACATGCCAGGGGCTGGCTCAGAAATAGGCATATGACCCACTGGGGGAAAAGGTCTTCTGGAAGTTTCCTTGAGCCATAAGGTTTTTCTTCTTCCTGTGGAATGTTCTACTGACTTGATATCCTGCTTAGAATTGGTCTAGCCATTCTTCAACCAGCTTGATGAAGCCAATAGGATGAATGGGGCCGAGAGGAAAACAATGTTTCCTTGTTGAGTTGCTGCATCAATTCCCTACATCAGGACTTCCTGCCAAGTGAGAGAATATCCTGGTTGTTTGGTTGGGCTGCTGAACCTATAGTTCATCCCTATAGTTGGGATGACTATAGGAGATGTTCAGGTCAAGTGATGTGAAAATGTTCCACTCAGAAACTGTATGTTGGGACACAAAACGCTAGGGGAATGGAGAGAAAGTGGTCATATCATTTAGGTCATCGTACCTGGACCTCAGTGAGGCTGGCTGTAGTGTCTAGGCATGGAAAGGCAGTCATGATAAGGCAACTTCCTGTGTCATCCCCACACATCCACAATTCCTGGCATTTGACCTCCACCACATAAGTCACCTAGAATTCTATTCCTTGCGGTCACAAAGAATCTAATAAACGGACTCCTGGGAATTTGTCATTGGTTCATGAAGACTAACAGTCTCTAAAATGCCTTTTTCAGAATTCAGTTAAAGCATCAAGACAAAATCCAAGCTCAGCACTGAGGATGGAAAGGCAGCTAAAAAGGCAAAATTGGTTTAGAAACACATTTCCCAACATCAGAGGAAGCTTGGTCACATCTGCTTGGTGGCAATTCAGACCCTTCTTTGCCTGCAGCTCCTCCAGGATGGGAAAAGAAAATGAGCTTGTTTTTTCCTGTTTATCATTAACTCTACTTCCTGTTTGAGATTTAGACATCTAATAAAACTTCTGTTTCTTTAATCAAAAGAAATTTCAATCTCCAGTGACTTTTCCTGCTGAAGTTCCCTAAGGGGGACATTTAGAGTAGTGAACAGTGACAGAGGACTCTGGGCACAAAAGTACAACACTTGGCACTTACTGGTTGGGTGAACCTGGGCGATTTTATTACTTCATCCCTGCACCTCAGTTTCCTCATCTGTAAGATGGGGATAATAGCACCTATTTTATAATTATTAAGATTAAATACATTAATGCAGGGGCAACACATTAGTATGTACGTGGTACATACTAAGCACTCAACACATTTAGCTATTTATATACGTTGATGTCTTCAAGCAGGGATGGAATGCTTCATACAGAAAACGGTAGGTGTGAGCCACTCACACGTTGTCTTGGCTTCTGAAATGCAAACTTCCCTGACCCCAGTTCATCCAAGGACATGGGCACAGTTTTCCTTAATCTCTGTAGAGGTCTGACTCTGAGACAACTGTAGGATGGCTTTCATTTGCACAACTGAATAAAAAAAGCAATTTTGGCTGTTTTGAAAGACAAGACAGTAGAGTTTAATCTTCAAATTTGATGGACTTGGAAGCATTCCTGTCAATATAAAAGATTTTGCCCGGGGTGGTAGAGAAGCCAAGGCCAGCGCCCCGGCTGTGCTTCCAGCTCATGGCCCGCTCATAGTCCTGCTGGAGGTTCTGCCGCAGGGTGTCGGCTGCCTTTTTGTTGAGAGCCATGTTGGGCCTTCCGGTTGTGTTAGGGGGGCGGCTGAATGAGGGGGACACATTTTTAAAGCCACCCATAAGTTTGAGAAATTTCAGTTTCTGTTCCTCGTTTTCAAAACCAGCAGTATCCCACTGGCCAAACTGAGTTCCCTGTGTTAAAAGAGAAAGGTGGTCATTTTCCCGGTTTCCAAAGCAAAGCCCTGTCCCTGCACCCCCCCACCCCCCCCCACCCCCCACCCCCGCTTCACCAGGGAGGATCCAGCTGATTAAATGCTAACTACCAGGGCCAGTGCTCACAAGCACATTAATGGACTGTCTTTTTCATTCTAACAAGAGCCATATAAAGAATATTGTTAGTATTTCCATTTTACTGGTGAGGAAATTGAGATTTGCAGCCTAACTGGGGGCACAAGCCTAATTAATGACCCTGCTAGAATTCCATCTCAGGTCTGGCCAACACAAGGGCCCACCTTTACACACGGAGCTGCCTGTTTGCTTCATTCTTCTAACTCACGGCAAAGAGTACAGCATATCTCACCTCACCTCCCAGCTGGCCACTCTGCCCTCAGGTTTCTGTCAGGCGTAAAGAGGAGGAAGGCAGGTGGCAATCTGAAACGCACATCGCTTCCCATGAGCACTGCACTTTATAACAGAGTGGAAGCCCAGAGAGTAAAGGGTCACACAGCCAAGCCAGAGGCTGAGCCAGTCCAGGAACTCAGGGGTCCCAATTCATGTCCAGAGTACTCTACCACCTGTACATGAATCACCCATGTTCAAGAAAAAGATGGCCCCTCAGAGCAGCTGTAGAAGCAAAGACCCCTTTCCTTCCCACATCTGTGAGACAGGCAAGAAACCCAGGTCAAGAAAACTATGACTTTGAAGGCACAAAGACTCAAGGACCACGCTTGCCTTGGCTGACTCTGGTCAAATCACCTGACCTCTCTAAGCCTCAATGTCCTCATCTATAAAACAGAGGTGTCATACACCTCTCACAGGGCTTTAGCTAAGGATCAAAACAGATTTTTACACCAGCAACCTAGAGCCCAAGGCTTGGCATACTTTAAGTCCTCAGTAACTGGTCATTCTTCCCACCCCACTCTGACTACTGACCTCCACGCTGCCTGGGAACTTTCCACATGCACGACAAATGCCAGCCTAGCACTTATTTCTAGGTCAGTTTTGGGAGAACACGGAGAACCAGTTGTTGCTACACTTGCCCTGTGAATTAGACAAATTCTCCCAGCTTCACTGTGGCCCAGATGTAGGCATAATTACAGCTTCCCAGGCCTACAATTTCTAGAATGAGAAACCACCTCTGACAGTCCTGCACTGGGTCTGAGGAGAGCTAGCTCTTGCAAGGGCTGCTGACCCACTCAAAGGAGCTCCCCCCACAGGGGCCCACAGCAAGTCTGAAATCCTCACCACACGCCTCTAGTGTCCCTAGATCCTGGGAGGCAATGCTACCTAACGTATACCCAGCAGATGCCAGTCCCTGTGCCCCAGGATCCCCATCAGGTCCTTCTAGATACAGCCTCTGGGGCCACTAGCTCTGAATGGCGTTGCCCCGTTTTTTGCCCTCTTCAACTCAATGAGGATGTTCTATCAGCTCTGCTCAGCTCAAAAGGATGGAAAGGAGAAGAGATACCCAGAGGGAAGACACCTAACAAAGCCCCTCTCCATACCCCACTGAGCCAGAGTACAAGTCCCATTTTACAGATGTGGAAACTGATGCACTCTGAGGAGAAGTTGCTTGCCTAGAGTCTCACAACTAAAAAGTGGCAGAGCCAGAAACAGAACTCAGGTCTTTTGATCCAAATTAATTGTCCTTTCCTGTATTAAACTGTGAAGGCTTAATATAGGGCAGGAAAGCAAGCCTTCCCTCTCATCTAGATCCTTCTTTTCCCTCTTCCCAATCCAATTAACTATTACATCTTGTTGGATTGTGAAGCTGTCTCTTTGTCCTCTGCCACCACCCCAGCGCTCAGGCCTGCAGGCCAAGCCTTCTAACCAGCTCCCCACCTCCCCTCCACATGCCCTCCAGGAGCTCCCACTGCCCCTCGAGCCCCTGGACAAGCTTCTGGCCACAGCTGCTGAGGCTGGCCTGGTGTGGCCCGTCCACAGCCCCTCCCATCCTGCTTCAGCCTGACTTCGTGTCCTCTGCCCTACTCCCTCCTGCCCCGTCTCCTCAGGCCGGGTTTGGAATCTCCCATTCCAACTGGACCTTGAAGGCAGTCCTAAGAGAGGCCTACTGCCACAAAGCCCTCACCTCTGCCTCCTACCCTGGTCCAAGAAGCCTTCTGAGGTCACCATCCACTGCTGGAAAGCGCTGGTCACATGCCCTCAGCGACTAATGTGCAGGACACCCCACCCATTCAGAGCCAGAGCCAGGTTCAGGTTCAGGATGCCTATCTTGCTTGGCCAGCTCCGTAGGAGGGAGGCAAGCACCCCTTCAGAAGGAAGGAAATTATCTCAGGACAAGCTCTGCAGTGAAGAGAGCCCACAGGCAGACCCGGACAGCCTCTGGGACCTGCACCATGGTCTCGTCTCCCATCACTCTGCTCCTCGTGCTGCAAGGCGAGGAAGGAGTCAGGATGCTGGGGTGTGCCACCCAGCAGAGTCCAAGCATTGAACTTACTGTCCACTTCCTTGGTTCAGAAGCTTCTGTTTTGCCCGACTCACGATCAATCTCTTCTTGCAAGGCCTTTCGCCTCACCTGAACAAGGGAGAGCAAAGGAAAGAGGGAAATGGGACATAGAAGTTTTCCTTTGAGCTTAAAACAGAGCATAGAGATAGGGCAGGAGGACAGTGGCAAGAGGGAAAGCAGCTTTCCTCTGCTGCAAATTGGGGCAGGCATTTGTCAAAAGTATCTTCTAAGCATCCCAAGGCTACAATCCCTTGGCCTCATTTATTCTTGTTTTGCCATTCTTTAAGAATGAACTTTGGGGATAGAATTGTTTTCTGGAGATAACAATGGAGTGAGGCAGAAGCTAGTTTGAACCTTAGCAGTTAGGTAAGTCATTTAACCTTTAGGTACTTTGACTTATTTACCTGCAAACAGAAATATCAGCTACTTTGGAGGATAAATGGAAGAAACAGAATTGTGCTTTCGTTTATAATATATATATATTTGGTGGTCATCCTAGTTTCTGCAGAGAGCTCCTAAACTCCTTGGGATTTCCTAAGTAAGGAGAGCAATCAAGATGTCTTTTGCTGTGTAAATGAGGACAATGCAGGAAAGTACCTGAGTGAGGATGGGGGCTGGGTCAGGTGTACCAACCCCAGAACCAAAGGGGCTTGGAACTTTCAGTGCACCCTCCAAACTCCAAGGAGGGAAGAGGGGCTGGAGGCTCAATCAATTATCAAATAGTCAATGATGTAATCAACTGTGCCTATGTAATGAAGCCTCCATAAAACTCACAAAAGAGCAGGATGTTCAGAGATTGGTTCTGGGTTGGTGGAAAATGTGGATATTTGGTAAGAGTCATATGTTTGGAAAGGGTATGAAATTTTAGTGCCATTTCCCCATATCTTGCCCTATATATCACTACCATCTGGCTATTCTTGATTTGTTTTCTTTTATTATAAACCAACAGTCTAGTAAGTGAAATGATTCTTTGAGTTCTGTGAACTACAGCAAATTAACAGAACCCAAGTAGGGGGTCATCAGAGTCTCCCACCTATAGCAGGCTGGAAAGGGAGGAAATGGCTTGGGAAGACTGAGCCCTTTAACCAGTGGGATGTGACACTATCTCCATATATATTATGTCAGAACTGAGTTGAACTGTAGGACACCTAGCTGATGTCCAAGAATTGCTGGTGTGGGAAAACCCTCTCCTCCACATTAAATTGATGGGTGCAGAATGTTAAGAACCTAATAGAGTGCCTGGTACACAGTAGGTACATCTTAGTATATGTGTTGCCGAAGCGAGCACACAGTAGGTACATCTTATACAATGCTGCTACCATAGCTCAAGGCCACCATCAGCATGTTAATGATCCCACTGTTTGATATAAAAGCTTCCAGGACCAATATCCCTGATGAATATAGATCAAAAGTCCTCAACAAAATGTTAGCAAACTGAATTCAACAATACATTAAGAGAATCATCCACCATGATCAAGCAGGATTTATCTCAGGGATGCAAGGATGGCTTAATATCTGTAAATCAATCAACACATATATACTACGTTAACAAAACGAAGAATAAAGACCCTACACGTCAATACATGCAGAAAAAGTATTTGACAAAATTCATCATCAATTCATGGTAACAAATGTCGACCAAGTGGGTACAGGGGGAATGTACCTCAACGTAATAAAGGCCAAATATGAAAATCCATAGTTAGTATCACACTCAGTGGTGAAAAGCTGAAAGTGTTTCCTCTAAGATCAGAAACAAAACAAGAATATCTACTCTCATCACTTTTATTCAACATAGTACTGAAGTCTCAGCCACCATAGATAAGAAAAAGAAACAAAAGTGATCCAAATTGGAATGGAATAAAATTGTCACTATTTGCAGATGACATGATACTCTATACAGAAAATCCTAAAGATGTCACTAAAAAACTCTTTCAACTAATAAATGAATTCAGTAAAAATTGCAGGATATAAAAATACATAGGGATCTGTTCCATTTCTATACACTAAAAATTAACTACTGAAAAGAAAAATTAAGAAAACACTCCCAGTTACATCTGCATCAAAAATAATAAAACACACAGGAATAAATTTAACTCAGGAAGTGAAAGAGCTATACTCTGAAAATTTTAAGACAGAAATGACAGAAACTCGAAGATGACATAAATAAATGGAAAGATATACCATGCTCATGGACTGGAAGACTTAATATTGGTTTTTTTTTGTTTGTTTGTTTTTAAATGTTTTATTTATTTCTAGGAGAAAGAGAAAGACAGCGTGAGCAGGGGAGGGTCAGAGAGAGAGGGAATGACAGACTCTGAAACAGGCTCCAGGCTCTGAGCTGGCAGTCAACACAGAGCCCGACGCGGAGCTCGAACCCACGAACCACGAGATCATGACCTAAGCGAAAGTCGGACGCTTAACCGACTAAGCCACCCAGGCGCCCCTGGAAGACTTAATATTGTTAAAATGTCCACATTACCCAAAGCAATCTATAGGTTCAATGCAATCCCTATCAAAATAGCAACAGCATGCTTCATAGAACTGGAACAAACAATCCTAAAATTCATATGGAACCAAAAAAGACCCCAAATAGCCAAAGCACTCCTGAGAGAGAAAAACAAAGCTGGAGGTACCACAATCCCAGATATCAAACTATACTACAAAGCAATAGTAATCAAAATAGTATGGTATTGGCACAAAAACAGACACATATCAATGGAAGAGAACAGAGGCCAAAATTAACTTATAGGTCAATTAATCTATGACAAAGGATTCAAGGATCTAACAATGGGGAAAGACAGTCTCTTCAATAAATGATGTTGAGAAAACTGGACAGCTACATGCAAAAGAATGAAACTGGACCACTTTCTCACACCATACACAAAAATAAACTCAAAATGGACTAAAGACTTAAATGTGAGACCTGAAACCACAGAACTCTTAAAAGAAAACAAAGGCAATAAACTCTTGGCTATCAGTCTTCGTAATATTTTTCTGGATCTGTCTCCTTAGGCAAAGGCAATAAAAACAAAAATAACTGGGACTACAATGAACTAAAAAGCTTTTGCACAGTAAAGGAAATCATCAACAAAATGAAAAAGCAACCTACTAAGTGGGAGAAGACACAGGTGACCCTTGAACAAGCGGGGATTTGGGGTGCTGGCCCCCTACACAGTTGAAAATCCACATACAACTTTTGACTGTTAGTAGCCTACTGTTGACTAGAAGCTTTACCAGTTATATAAACAGCTGATTAACAAAGATTGTGTGTTATATGCATTACATACAGTAATCTTACAATAAAGCTAAAGCTATAATTAAGTAAATCAAAGAAAAACATACATTTATAGCACTGAAATGTATGGAAGGATCTAAAAATCTGTGTATTCACGTATTTGCACAATTCAAACCCATGTTATTCAAGGACCAACTTATTTGTAAGGATCAACTTATTCGCAAATAATATATTCAACAAGGGGTTTATATCCAAAATATATGAAGAACTCATACATGGGGCACCTAGGTGGCTGGTTAAGCATTTGACTCAGTCAGGTCATAATCTTGCAGTTCATGAGCTCAAGACCCAAGGTGGGCTGTGTGCTCACAACGCGGAACCTGTATGGGATTCTCTCTCTCCCTTTCTCTCTGCCCCTTACCTGCTCACACTGGCGTGCTCTCTCAAAATAAATAACTTAAAAAAAAAAATCAATTAGAAAATGGGCCTGAATAAACATTTTGATAATGGCCAACAGACATACATCACTAATCAGCCGGAAAATGCACATCAAAATCATGAGGTATCACGTCACATTGGTCAGAATGGCTAGTTTCAAAAAGACTGGAGATAAAAAGTGTCAGTGAGGATGCAGAGAAGAGGAAACCCTTGTGCACTGTTGGTGGGAATATAAATTTGTGCAACCACTAGAAAAAAAAAACAGTATGGAATTTCCTCAAAAAATTAAAAATATAAATACCATATAAGCCAGTAATTCCACTTCTGGGTATTTACCCAAAGAAAAGGAAAACACTAATTTGAAAATATATATGCACTTCTATGTTTATCCCAACAGTATTTACAACTGTCAAGATATGACGCATTCTAAGTGTTCACTGATAGATGAAGGGATAAAGTAATGGTGTGTGTGTGTGCATGCATGCGTGCGCGCGCACACACACACACACACAGTGGATTATCACTCAACAATGAAAAAGAATGAAATCTTGCCAGTTTGAGACAATGTGGATAGACCTACAGGGTGTTATACTAAGTGAAATAACTGAGAGAAAAAAAGACAAGTATCATATAATTTCACTTATATGTGGAATCTAAAAAAAAAAAAAAAGAACAAAACAAAACAGAAATGACCCATAAAAACAGACAACTAGTGGTTGCCAGAATGGAGGGGTATAGGAGGCTGGGTGAAATAGATAAAAGAGATTAAGAAGTACCAACTTATACTTAAATAAATCACAGAGATGTACACAGTACAGCCTAGGGAATACAGTCAGTAATCTTGTAATACCTTTGTATGGTGACAGATGGTAACTACACTTATTGTGGTGAACACAGCATAAAGGATGTTAATTGTTGAATCACTAGACTGTACACCTAAAACTAACAGAACATGGTATGTCAACTGTAGTTCTATTAGGAAAAAAAGCTTCTAGGGTCTCCTCCTCCTTCATAAGGGTTCAGGTATAACTTTGCCCCAATTTATGCCCTTTCCTCCTCCCCTTTAATCTGCCACAGGCTACGAGACAAAGTGACCATTTATGTAAGTTCAAATGTTTACTTTAAGAAAGTTTACTTTCTTAAAACAAAGTAACAACTGTAAAAATGAGAGAGAAAAAAACATATTCTTATAGTGGAACCATGCTCCAGATATGAAGTGATACAGATGTGCATATGCCAAAATGAAATTCAGTTAAATAATAAAGAGCAGTCTACATAACGTAGGATGATTGCACAGTGCTTTAAAATTAAACACATGTAGTTACAAAAGAAAATCTGGAAGAATAACAAAGGGTTAACAGTGAACATTATTAGGTGGTAGGATTTCAGGTTGCATTTTTTTTTTCGGGTTGCAATGTTTTAACATTGTGAACTTTAAGCACTTATGGGAAAAAAGGCAGAGGTAAAATAGAAAGCTTCGCTTACATTAAGGTAATCTGTCATCCATAATGGTTAAAAGTTTCCTTAAAAACTGTAACCAGTCGGCACAAATAAGTAGCAAAGGGGCTGCTGGTGGGCCTCGCCAATATGAAGTCCATGGGCAGGGGGACTCTCAGAGTTCTAGCAACTTGCTGCATCCTGAGTGGTGGAGGATACCTGAGGGAAGGGGCCCAGAGCCCAGAGAGTCAGGGCCCTGCCTTTGTCCTCTCTGTCATCATTACCGTTGGTCCTGACCCAGGGGAGCAGTGTGACTATGACCTGCAAAAGGCTGGGGAGTTCCCATTTCTGAGGGGCTTGTGCTCTGTGCCAGGCCCTGGACTGGGTACTGTCAGCATCAACTTACTGATCTGCATGGCCCTACTTTCGATGCCCCTGCCTCCAGGGAAAGTTCCCCAGCACCCCCAAAGGCGTTGGGTTTGGAAATTCTGCAGCATCATATAGGCCCCCACATACTCTGCTCACTTCCCAGTAGTGGCTGGTTTCTTTCTCTCCTGGAGTAGAAGGGCCACAAGACGGGGGTCATCCCTGCGTCACACCCTGTTGCTTCTCTCTAGCAATTACTTGCTGACAAAGTGTGAGGACATGGTCAGGGTAATGGCTGCCACTTTTTAAGCAGATATAAGACAGGCCCCTGCCGAGTGCCTCACAAACAGACCACGTCTGGTCCTCACAGCCACCTATATGAGGGTCAGTGAGATCAGTTAGTAATGGTCCAAAGCCAAGCCTCTGCTGTTAGCACACTGTCCTGCCAGGCCTCATTTGGTCCAGGATCATACAAATACCCCAGTTCCAGAAAGTCATGCTCCACTATAGGATACACCTGCTTACAGGTCCGGGCACGACAGAAGCAGACGCTGATTCACAACAGAGTAACTTCTGTAAGCACTCCCGAATTGAGGCCAGGAGGTGGCAATGCACAAGACTGGCCAAGCACATGTTCCCTGCCCTGGCTGCAGTTCCTGGGGTCATATTTGCAACTCTCCAGCAGCAATTTTAACAAAGGAAACCCTCAGCCTGGGATTCTAAATGACCAGATGGTCCCTCAGCCAAAGCTATGGTAGTGAAAGGGTCTCCCAGCATCAAATGGGGGAGGCCACAAGTTCCCTGCCACTTGAGGTGTGCCAGAAGCTGGCTGGTGGCTTTTGGGCTCCCTGACACCTCTGGGACCAGGATCTTGTTGCCCGGCAGGAGACCAACATGTGCCTTGCGGGTGACAACACACATGGGAGGGGGATGACGACCTGGGCCGTACCTGGTCTATGTGCGCCTCATCCATGTTGCCTTTCTTTTCCAACACCACCTCTAAGTCTGTGTCAGGCTCCTGCACAAAAGGGCAAAGGGAGGAAGAGTCAAGAATACGATGGCCTCTGCCCCAGCAGCTCAGCAGGGGGAGATCATGATAGTCCAGAGAAATCCCAAGACCACAGCACCACCTCAACCCCTGCCACCTACAGAACTTCGGACACCCTGTCTTCCACGATTCTGATTCTCCCCTCAAGACCATGGCACTGACTTATCTGACATATGAAGAAATAAGGCTCAGAGAGGTGACATGACCATCATGAAGTCACCCCCACAGCTAAGACATGGGTCTCCTGACTCAGGCTTGGTGCATCTTTCCTTCTACAGACATCATCTTACCCCCCATGGCACCAAACCAAGAGAGGCCAAGGTCCCTGCTGATTGGGCTGGGCAGGAGATAGGTGGGCTTGGGGCCCTGATTGGGGTGGAGGTGGGCAGGGAAGGGACCCCGCCAGCAAACCCGAACCCAGTTCTCTCCTCCACAGTCCTAGTCACTGCCTTCTCTCCTGCCAGGGCAGCCCAGCAGTCTCTAACTCCTGCTTCCCCACCTCGACCCCAACCCTGCTCCATTATGTACAATAGCTAGGGTGAGCTTTAAAAACTCAACTGGAGGGGCGCCTGGGTGGCTTAGTCGGTTAAGCGTCCGACTTTCGCTTAGGTCATGATCTCGCGGTTCGTGGGTTCGAGCCCCGCATCAGGCTCTGTGCTGACTGCCAGCTCGGAGCCTGGAGCCTGTTTCAGTCTGTGACTCCCNCTCTGTGCTGACTGCCAGCTCGGAGCCTGGAGCCTGTTTCAGTCTGTGACTCCCTCTTTCTCTGACCCTCCCCTGCTCACGCTATCTCTCTCTCTCTCCTAGAAATAAATAAAACATTAAAAAAAAAAAAAAACTCAACTGGAGGGGCACCTGGCTGGCACAGTCAGTAGAGCATTGCGACTCTTGACCTAGGGGTTGTAGGTCTGAGCGCCACATTGGGTATACAAATTACTTAAAAATAATCTTAGGGTTGTCTGGGTGGCACAGTTGGTTGAGTGTTCTTCTTGATTTCAGCTCAGGTCATGATCTTGTGGTTTGTAAGTTCAAGCCCTCAGTCAGACTCCACAATGTCAATGCAGAGCCTGGCTGGGATTCTTGCTCTGTCTCTCTCAAAATAAATAAACTTAAAAAAAGTTAAATAAAATCTTAAAAAAAAAACTCAACTGGACCGTGTTATATATACACCTTAAACTTACACCATGTTATATGTCAATTATACCTCAATTTAGAAAAATAAATTTTTTAAAAAAAGAAAGTAAATATTTAAAACTCAATCAGATCACATCACCCCACTACTCACAAAAGCCTCCAGAGGATCTCATCTTGTTTACACAAAACTCTAGACTCTTGTGGCCTCTATGGCCTCTATCCCTTGGTCCCCCAAACTCCTAGCTCCTGCCACCCCAGTCTCTTTGCTCATTCCAGGGCCTCTGCACTGTTGCCCCCTCTGCAAGACCCATGGCCAACACCCGCCACAGGTCTCTGCTCCCATGTGGTGTCCTTGTCAGGCCTGCCTGGGCAGGCTTGCCTGTGTCACACTTGGCTCACTGACCTTAGCTCCCATGGGATCCTCTGAAAGTGAGACCTCAGGCCAGCCACTTCCCCTGGTCCTTTGGTAATGACAACTGCCATCTTTTCCTCATCCTTACTTTAAGTGAGCTCTGCCTGGCACCCAGCATCACGTGATCATCCCTGGAGAGCTTTGTTCACTCGTATCACCCATCCAGACCCTGAAGATGTGTGCATTTCCTGACTCAGAGGGCTGTCCAAGGCAGCAGAGCCTCCTGGCAGGAGATGTTAAAGACAGAGGACCAACCACCTTTCACTGGACTCTGGAGAGAAGGGATTCTGATGGCGGTTGGGGTCCCAGCCTCTGAAGTTCCCCTTGGCCCCAAGAGATTCTGAATGAAAGAGACCAGTGAAATAAGTCTAATGGACTAGGGCAAAACTGGGAAAAATCCAGAAACCAGAGTACCTTTTATAGGCCCTGAAAAGGAAGCCACCACTGCTCTCCTCAACCCCAGCTAAGCTGAGTTCAGGGCACACAGATACTTCCTGATGACCCTGCTCCAGGGGGCTCATCCTTCAGTGGGTATTAACTGAACCCCTCCAGTGCCAGGGCCATCCTTCAGTAAAAGCTCCACACGTTTGCCTTCATTCTTACTTGAGGACCACAGGGCAGTGGCTGGTCTGAGCTTACCTAGCTGGTCGGTGTAGAACTGCAAGAGAACTCAGGGCTTGTTCTAACAGAAGACAGTCACTTCTTGGGCTCTAATGGCTTTAGCATCTATGGGAAGGTACAGGGCAGCTTCTGAGAAAGGATGAAACCTCCAGTTCCACAGCCAGACTGGGTTTAAAGCCCAGGTCCACCCTGTCAGGTAGATGATCCTGATCGAGGTATTTTAACTCCTCCCTGTTTCCTTGTCTGTTAACTGAGGATAACCACAGCAGCCATTTCACCAGACTGGTGTGAGGATTAAACGGGTTAATACATGGGGAGCGTTAGTCTACTACAGGCACACGGTAAGTGTTCAACATCAGCCTTCGCTACCCCAACAGGCCAGACATCTGCACGTACCATCTCATTTCCCCCTGCACATCCACACGTGCATCCCAAAGACAAGAATGAAGCTGTGTTCCTGGCACAGACAGGGGAGGCTGTGGGCCTGCGGAGCCCAAGGGCTCTGGCTCATCTCCTCCCTTCTCTCCCCGACTCAAAGAGGCCTGTCAGGACAGAGACAGCAGAGCTCTGTTGTCTTCACCAGACCATCGACTATTCTCTTTCTCCAGGTAATTGGGATTGGGTTTTCCTCCAAGGCAGTGTCTTCCCGCGACCTCACAGTGGGGCTCAGGTGGGACTGGTACCCTAGGACCCTTCCCCCAGCTTCAGATCAGGGCTTTCAGCTTGCATGATCCACCTGAGGCCTGTGATAGCAGCCCTGAGACTCTTCCTGTCATCGTTTCAGGGGGGCTATCGTTCTCCTTTGGGGGCAGCCTAACGACTAGGATGAAATCCTGGAACTGCTGAGACTGTCGTGCTTGAGGGGGGAGGTGGGAGGTGCCTATCTGGGACTAAAACCAACTAGAAAAAAAATACAAAGCCCAGAGCTGGGGAAAGCCACACAGACCATCTCCTGTAATCCAAACCTATTTGATCTCTAAATCATGTATACTGAGCACAGAAAAGCAGCTAAGATAGTCAAGGACACCATGTTATCTCAAACTATTTGGTTCCTGATTTAGGACAGCAAGTGGCAAGAGTTCAGAAAAGGAGAGATTCATCTGAAAAATTTATCTCAATTTATTCAAACCCTAAGTAAAGATAGTAAGAAGCTGGGTAGAGTGTCAATAGCAAGGGATACCTTTATTGAGGATATTGCATGAGCACCTGGATCCAGCCATACCTGAAACTAAATAGCTTTTAACCTTTCCAGTTACAGATCTCAACAAATACCCTTTTCTGGCTGAAGTCAGTTTACTCAGGATTCTGGCAGCTACAAAGGGGAGTGCCTGTGAATGACTGCACACACACACTCCCAACTTCCACCCGTTTTCTCCCAAGCAGAGTGTGCTTCTGAAGAAAGGCTTACCTCTTCCCAAGGTTCTCCTGCTACTACTCTGCTCTCTTTCTCCTTCTTTTTATTCCTCCTCAGAGCTGGTTCCTCAATGCCTGGCTGCTCTGCCTTTTTCTTGGCCTTCATTTTCTTTTTTGCGGGGGACTTGGGGTTATGTTCTACTGGGATGTATTCTGGAGCCTCAACTTTGACTGGCTTCTTACTTCTTTTCCTAGGGATTCTCTCAATGGACTTGGAGAGCTCAAGGTGCCCTAGGGAGGTGTCTCCCTTCTGGTGGATTTTCTTTTTCTTTTTTATCTTCAAATTATGCTCTGTAGGGCTCTCCTGCTTCCGTTTCCGCCCTGAGGCTGCCTGCTCCTCTCCATCCTTCTCTGCTGAGGAAGCATACAGAGGATCCCCAGACTCACAGAACCAAGGGTCCTTGGCTGACAAGTCTGCAGCCTCCTGGGTCTTTTTTTCCTTCTTGTGTTTTTTGGGCTTCTTGCTGACACTGGTCACCTCCTCATCCTGTCTGGGATCCGGGGAGGTCTTCACTCTTGAGCCAGGGGGCATGGTCAGAGGGCATAAGGACTTCCTCTTCTTTTTCTTCTCTCCACCTTGGATCTCAGATGAACCAAGGGCCTGCTTCCTGGGGCTTGGCAACTTCTCTGTCCGTCCAGCACGTAACGAGGTCTCAGGTTCTAAGCGCTGCTCACAGAAGGTGCTATGGCCCTTCTTTTTCTTCTTTTTCTTCACTAAAGGCATCTCAGATGCCTGTCCTAGGACCACACTCTTTGACGGGGATGTGGCTTTTGTGGGACAGATCTCAGTGAAATAATTGTCATTGTTTAAAACTGAGTATTGAGTCTCTGGTTCTTTCACCACCTTCTTCTTCTTCTTCTTTTTCTCTGGGAGGCCAAGGCCCAAGTCTCCTTTGTGGGTTTTAGTGATCATTCCTGAAAAGAGAAATGGTACAAGTTACCCTCATATCAAATCACCCTGTGTACAATTCAGTTAGGTAGTGCTAAGAGCCACGTTTCTGAGTGGCTAATCTGAAATGTCAGGGGATGGAAAAATGTGATCAAAGCAGCAGAATGGAGTTTAAATTCAGACAGCCTCAAGTTCAAATTTAAACTCCTTCCTCACCTTAAGCCAGTTACCTAGCCTCCCTGAATATTAATTTCCCAATCTGGAAAATGGGGGGACATAACATTTCCTTCTCAAAAGGAGAAGTGATCCATGCAAAGTGGTACACTGTTGATTCCTTTTTCTAACCCCCTTTCTCAAACCTCTGAGGCTAGTCACCCATGCAACAAATTTACGGACTGTCTACCCTGTGCCAGCCATGGAGGATACAACTGCAGTCAAATCAGACACAATTTCTGAAGGGGACAGAAATCCTGAGGTCAACTCTTCCCGCCAATCGATTCCCACCAGAGGCAATAACTGTGGCACAATTAACTCCTTACCATGGTTCATCTAAGCAGCTTTTCCTTTCTGTGTGGAAATTAACTTCCACCACCTGCACCCTGGGTGGCTTACCCTCCTAATTACCTTCCCGTGCGGCTATTAATAAGAGCAGCAGCAAGATTCGGAAAGAGCCACGGCTAGGACAGAAAGACCTGGGTTCAAATGGTGACTGACACTCTCTTGACACAGTGTTGGCTTATCCGGGCCTCAGTTTCCCATTCATCATCAGGGACTGAATGAAATCAAATGCTGCCAGGGGGAGAAGGGGTGTTGTGGGCCACACCTTGCTGCTTCACTGGTTTTAAATTTTCAAATTACCAATATTTAACAATTGGAAATGACACAGAACAACCTACAATGTCCTGCTTTTTTTGTTTTTAAATGTCTATTCATTTTTGAGAGAGAGAAAAAAACAGAGCATTAAGTGAGGAGGGACAGAAAGGGGGAGACACAGAATCTGAAGCAGGCTCCAGGCTGTCAGCACAGAGCCCGATGCAAGGCTCAAACTCACGAACTGTGAGATCATGATGCAAGCCGAAGTTGGACGCCTAACTAAGCCACCCAGGCGACCCTACGATGCCCAGCTTTTTTGGGAAAATGTCATGTAGGCAACTGTGCTGGGGCCCTCAAGTACACTTTAGCTCCCATTAGCCTACTTCTCTCACTCGTCACCACCCCAGTTCCTACTGCTTCCTGAACCAGGTGACATGGGGACACCCAGGGAATCCAAAAACAAAATACCCCTCCCTCCCAAGGTTTGGACAGTGGAAGGGAAAGTTCAAAAGGTTCTCCATCCTGAAGCTCTCCTCAGGCTCAGAATGCTAGGAGTGCAGACTGGACCTGACTCACCATTAGCAGCTTCAAAGAGCCAGGCCAGGACTAAGCTATGGCTTGAATTCATTTGTAACTCATACCAGGAGCACCTGGAAAGTCAAGGGAACCCTCTCATTCAATCCTGTTCTATTTTCTGCTCTATTCCCAGAGCCTAGCGCTGCACCTGGCACACAGATGTCAATAATTACTCACTGACTAAATGAATGCCAGAGATACAGAGATGAACAAGACACCAGGGGCGTCTGGGTGGCTCAGTCGGCTAAGCATCCGACTTTGGCTCAGGTCATGACTTCACGGTTTGTGGGTTCAAGCCCTACATCAGGCTCTGTGGAGCCTGCTTCGGATTCTGTGTCTCCCTCTCTCTGCCCCTTGTGCACTCACTCTCAAAAGTAGATAAACATTTTTAAATTGTTTTAAAAACTAAAATCACCTGCTATCAAGAAGCAGGTGTAGGAGGAAAAGATGTGAGATAATGAAGATACAAGTGATAATAGCAAGGCTAGTGGTGAAGTCAGGGCCATGGAGTTTATCTAATCTGACCTATCAGTTGTCAGCAAAGTTTCCAGTCCAAAGGTTTCCCAGTTGGGCAACTACAGGGTAGTGGTGTTAATCCCTAAGAAAAAGGAACCGAAGGCGGGTGCTTAGGGGCTGCAGGAGAGTGTCTGGTTTGCACAGCTGCCTTGAGATACCCAAATAGAGATTGTCCTGAACAGGTGGATATGTGGGTCTGAGGCTCAGGGGTGACTGGGCTGACGTAGATAAGAAAAACTCAGAAATATGGCTGATAACTAAGCCTCAAATAGAACGAGCCTAAGACAAGACCTTAGGGAAACAGGACAGAGGAAGAGGAGTCTGCAAAGGAAGAGAAGGTACAGACCTAGAGAGGGTGGAGTCAAGAGAACCAAGAGTGTCTCAGGAGGGGGTATGGTCAAGACATCTGATGAGAACAAAGAAGCCAAAAGGGGACTGCACTCAATTTAATCTCCTTAAACTTCCCTCCTCTTTAGCACTGAAGATGCTCCTCTTGAACCCTGCGACCCCAGATGTATTTACTCCAAGGGAAGAGGAGTTACCCTTACAGTGTGTTTCCAGAAAAACCCAGCACTTTCTCCAAACGTTCTTTTAAAATCTCGCGGTAGCCTCGTGAGGACCGCTGGGAAGGCCCCATCGCGAAGACTTGCTAAAGCTTCGAGACTTCAATTTATTAGTCCTAGGTCCTAAAGCCAGCAAGTGGCAAAAAAGATTCGAACCCTGCCCGCAGGGCGTCGGAGCCTGTGGTTGCACAATGGAAACAACACCCCATCCACCGCACTTTCACTAGCGGGAAGCAAGGGAGCGGGGAGGCAAGAACCGTCCCTCCAAGGCTCCGTCGAGCCAAGGCTCCCGCACACACACGCGCCGAAGGATTACGCGCGATCCCGGCCCGTCTCCAAGGCGGGAGAACTTCCAGGAGGCGGCGGCCTCAGGCGCCGGAGCGAAGGCACACATGCGTCTGGGGGGGTTGGCGGTGTGGACTTGGGGTGCAAGTCGCCCGCTTTTCCTTCACTTCGCCCCGCAAGACCCCAAGCCCAGTCTCCAGACCCCGCGCCGCCCCTTCTGTGCCGCGCCTCGGCACTTACCCTCAAGCCAATCTTCCCCGCCTCCACGTGAAAGCCAGCTCCGCCGCGCCCCGGAAGTTAATCTTGGGTCCCTGGCTCGCCCCGGTGAATCCCGAGTCCTTCCGGGTTGCAGCCCTGCTGGGAGGGCGGTTGCCTAGGAAACCGGGGCCATGGCGGGGCTGAGCCGGGTGAGCAGTCGCACCTGTCACCCAGAGGAGCCGGCCGGCTTTGCAGAGTCAGCGGATACTACCCGGACGCCAGTGCCCATCGTGTCCTCCGTGTCCCCCGAGCTACCCGTCTCGCCGGGACAGGGTGCGGAGCCGCTGGGCAAGAACCTGTGGGAGCAGATCTGCGAGGGTAGGCAGTCCGGGCGGGCAGAGAGGGGAGGGACTCGTCAGGCTGGGGCCGCGTTTTCTGGGCGCCTACTTGGAGTGGCCTCCTGGTAGCCGCGCCGCCGGTCCGCCAGGCGCTCCATTTCACGCACGGGGAAACTGAGGCTCCGAGAGGTTTGTCCGAGATTACTGACGCAGCACAGTCTCCTACCTTGGTCAAGTAGTCAGGTTAAAAGCAGGGAAGACAGGGGAAAGAGTAACAAACGGGACCCAATGGTGGGGATAGTGGCTCCCAAACTCCATTTAATGAATAGGGAAGAATCGTTGGGGCGGGGAAGGCGAACTTGATTAAAACGTAGGTTCCCAGCCCCTGCCCACAGATCTCGTAATCAGATGCAGGAAATCCGCGCTTTTAACGAGCATCTTAGGTAATTCTGATATAGTATGTAGCCCACATGGTGGGTGGGGTTGCGTGGGCTATAGACTTGGGTTTTAATCCTTCTCCCATTTCTAATCTTCCTTAAAATCCTCAAATCAAGATTAGCTCAACTTCTTTTGTGGCCCTTCACCTAGGCTTAGTCATGAGGCCTTACAACACTCTTCACATGTTGGACCAAGTTACTGCCCTTTATGTAAAGTGAAGCATAATAATGACGCCTGTTTTATGTTATTAGGAGCATTGCGGCTGAACAGTCTTAGAAAGTGCTTAGCAAACTGCCCGATTTCCAGCATGGGCTCAATAAGTATTGGCTCTTAAAAAAAATAATATTGGGTGGGTTTTTTTTCTCCTCTAGATTGTAAGCTCCTCAAGGTCAAGAACTCAAGATTTTTCATTCTTGTGGCTACTGTCATTACTTCAGCTGTGTGAAACAGCATTGCCCCATAGAACTTTCCAATATGGTAGCCCTAATGATTCATCATGTTGTACACCTGAAACTAATTTAACATTATATGTCAGTTACATCTTAGTAAAAAAAATGTAGCTACTAACTACATCTGGTTACGGAGTACTTGAAATATAGTTAGTGCAACATTAAGGCTCAATTGTTTTTATTTTATTTAGGTTTAACAAATTAGAAAACCACTCGTGGCTAGTGGCTACTATAGTGGCAAGCCAGTAAATGTTGAATGGAAAAAAAGAGTGAATGCACCAGTATATGGGATCAGATAGAAAGTGAAAAGTGGAAAAGTATAGAGAAGGAAGAGAATAGTGGACTCAGTTGATTGATAACCCTCAGCGGCTATTTCGCCTCCTATCCAGTGTTTGAATTCCCTCTCCAGCACTACATTACATTTAGAAATATCTGTTTCATCTTGAATGTTCTCCTTGTAAATTCTACCATTTGATCCTTGCCCCCTCGGTGCCATGACCCAAGTTGAAGACTCTACCATAAAGAGTCCACTCTTACTTGAAGGTAGTTGTGACTCTTTTCCCCAGAAAAGTGAAAGATGTTTTGACTTCTTCAAGCCAAACAGCTCTTCATATTACAGTTTATTACAGGTATGTTGTTAGGGAAGCTGCTTACCTACCTCACAGGGCTGTTGTGAGGACCAAATAAGAAAATGCATGTGAAGATTCTTAGCACAGTGTCTGGCATTTAGAAAGTGCTCAATAAATGTTCGTTGTTGTTAACTAAGAAACATGGTTTACACTGTGTTTTAGAATCGTGGGATTTATTATGGTCAAATAACCCTGTAGGCAGAAAGCAAAGACAAAAGGCTTTGATGCTCTCTTAAAAGGCAAGTGAATTTATGTGCTCACAAAGTGATGGAGTTAAATCACGAAGTTAATGAGGTCAAAGGTGGTGAATTATATACTCAGGTGCTGTGATGATTATTATAATTCAGATGACTAAACCCAATTTCTTAAACATTCTAACATGCAGTTTTCTATAGAAAATAGATAGTAAGTTTAGTGTCTCACAACACACATGAAAGACTGGTGATCTTATGTTTGAGGTTAAGCATTGCGTTCTATTAGTATATCTCCATTTAAAAAGCAAAATATTGGGGCACCTGGCAGGTTCAGTCAGTTAAGCATCTGACTTCAGCTCAGGTCATGATCTCATGGTCTGTGAGTTTGAGCCCCGTGTTTGTGCTCACAGCTCAGATCCTGGAACCTGCTTCAGATTCTGTGTCTCCCTGCCTCTTTCTGCCCCTCCCCTGTTCCCACTCTCTCCTGCAAAAATAAACAAACATTAAAAAAAAATTAAGCTAATGATCACAGTAATCAGACCTGTCAGAAACTCAGTTTGAGGAAGATGAAATACACTTAAGACTGCCCAAGGCTGCCATGTGTGTGGGTGGGTGTATGTATGCGCGAGCACGTGTGTATAACTTGACAACTTACTTGTAAATGTTCTTTAATTTTCTCTCTCATCTTAACAGTGATGACTACCTCTGACCTTTGTATTCTCAAAAGCACTTGTATCATTATCAATGAAGTTCTTTCCTGCCAAGGCATCTAGTTAAATCTTGTGACATATTTAATTATAGTTTTAAGGAAGACTGAATCAAAGTATTGGGAGCTTCCAGTCTTCTATTTTGATACTGCTGTTATTACTCCTATCAGCATCCTTATTATTGCCATTGGTTCATCACTCCAAATCCTCTCTGGCCTCAACCCTTAAAGCTGTTGTAAAATCAGGTTCCTCCATCCCACCTCCCACATACCAGCATGGACCAGCTCTGAAAGTATGCTTGTAATCCTGGCACAGCAGCTGAGTACAGCTGGAGAAAAATCAACCAAGAGGCTCTCACAGTGCCTATCAGTCAACAGCACCCATCTGCTACTCCCAAGTTTCTACTGCCCTCCTCAAACATTGTGTGGTACCACTTAGTAAATGTAGGAAGCATTCACTGAGAGTAGTCAGGCAATCAGAAGTGGGGAGGGGATCCTCCAGCTTCCATATTACCAATAAACATATTTGTATCTACGTGCATGGAAGAAGTATTTACCCTGCTACTCACAGCTCAGCCTGCATCTGTGCTTTGGTACCACCCTCTTGCGTTCCCAGGATCCTGCTCTGTCACCCCCTCTCCTACATCTAACTTCTTTACTGCCTTTTGCCGGCAGACATCCTTTGGTCTGTCATCTTAGGAAAAACTTCTCCCGTGCCCCCTATTGTCTTCTAGCCCTTGACTCCCCCTTTTCTTCTCTCAGCCAAGCTGCTGGAAAGAACACACTGCCTTCATTCATACCACTGTCATTCCTGTTCTCTTAACTCAGTGCAGACTGGCTCTCACTTACTTCATAGTTCCAGTGAAATTATTCTCGTATATTCAGTCAACATATCTACCCATGTTGGGAACTGGTTTAAATCCTGGGCCAGTAGTGACTGCAGGCACTGTTCTAGACACCAGCAACTTTCTATCTCAATGAGTGTCACCATCATTCACTCAGCTACCCAGTCCAGAAATCAGAGACTCATTTTAACATGCTTCTCATTCACTTTCCATGATATCCACATACACTGTCCAGTCCCTACAGATTCTATCTGCTTAACATTTGTAACCCCTAACTCCTCACCTCTAATTCTCATGGCTGCTGCTTTAGATCAGATCCTTCCTCTTTGGATTACTGCCGGAGCTTTTTAATTGCAGAAGACCTCTGTCCAGACCATCTTCCACAGGAACGTCTTTAAAATTCAAATCTGATCACATTATGCCATGACCTACAATGATTTTCATAGCTTTCATGGTAAACAAACTCTATACCTTAGTACCTAAGTCCTTTAATGATTTTTTTTTTTTTTTTGGTTCATCACCTACCATTTGCTCAAATCATCCTAATGGCAACGTTTATTGAGCCAGCACTGTGCATGATGCTTTTCCTCTCATTTAAACCTCATAGGAACTCAGAATTTTGCCTGTTGTACAGATGAGGAAATTGAGGCAGAGAGTGTTTAGGAAACTTGCCTGAAGTAAGTGGCAGAACCATGCTTGAACTCAGATGTGTGTGTCACTCAAGTCCAAACCCTTATGCAATATACAGCATGCTTCGAAGTGTAGACTGGGAGCACCTGCATCAACTCTGGATTACTTTTTAAAATGCAGATTCCTGTGCTCTGTCCTGGACCTGATGAGGTAGGACTCTTTGGGACTGAATCCCCAAGCTCTGCATTTTAAATAAGCTCTCTCCAGGTGAGGTACAAAGTACAGTGCTACTGTCCTGTCCTGTTTAGCCACAAGAATTTATTCCTGGGGCACCTGGGTGGCTCAGTCAGTTAAGCACCTGACTTGATTTTTGCTCAGGTCATGATCTCATGGTTTCATGAGTTCAAGTCCCACGTCTGGCTCTGTGCTGACACCTCAGAGCCTAGAGCCTGCTTCGGATTCTGTGTCTTTGTCTCTCTCTGCCTCTCTCTCTCAAAAATAAACTTTAAAACTTTTTTAGGGGCGCCTGGGTGGCTCAGTCAGTTGAGCATCTGACTCTTGATTTCGGCTCAGATCATTATCTCACAGTTTATGAGCTCAATCCCCATGTCAGGAACTGCACTGACAGCTCAGACCCTACTTGGGACTCTCTCCCCTCTTTCTCTGCCCCTCCCCTGCTTGCTCTGTCTCTCTCTCTTTCTCTCAAACACAAAAAATTTTTTTAATTAAAAATTTTTTCAAAAAAATTCGAATGAGTCAAAACCATGGTGAATCAAGTTGTTTTGATGAGTTCAATATACCTTATAAACTTAATCAAATGTATACAAACTTTGGCTTTCAGTGGAAAAAAGCATCAGTCTGTAATCAATTATATATTTTAAATTGAAATCACAAGGCAAAAGTGACAAGTTCTCATATGTGCCAGATTCTCTTAAACATTACAGAGGCTTGAAATCACCCACACATCAGATTGTCCTGAAGATAATGTATTTTCCCATACTTGTACATAATCATTTTAACTGTTTATCTTTTGTGCTCGTAGATGAAAATATTTGCATTTCTTCCATCAAATTTAAGAGAACTAAGAGGTCTCCTTGGAAAAAACCTAAATAGAAAAAATAAAAATAAAGAAATGCAGATAAAAGCAAAATATCATGTTAAATATAGGATTGGTAATACCCCAGAGAAGCAGAGAGTTTTACTATTAGGAGTATAAATTGTTGTAAACTTTTTGGAAGAATATTTGGCGATTAGGCCCAAGTTTTAAATTATTTTTTCCTTTAACAGAACAATTCCACTTCTAAGAATTAATCCTACAAAAATATCTCTCTTCCAATTGATGGTATATATAGAATGATGCTCATAGCAGCATTGTTTGCAATAATGAAACATTGGAAAAAACCTCAATACCCGCTAAGGGTACACTGGTTAAATAATTGTGGCATATCATATATGTAACAACCTTGAAAGATGTCCCAAGATTCAACACCTAGAATGGTTCCTGGCACATAGCAGGGCTCTCAATAAATGTGGACAAATGAATAGATAAAGGATCCAAAGTAACTTGCTATACTCTTTGTTTTGTTCATTCATTCAGCAAGTATTCTTTGGGAATATGATGGTGAGCATAAGCAGACCCAGACAATTTTCCTCACAAAATACATAGTCTATTAGAAGAGATAGTCATTAATTTTTACAAATTTCAAATAAGGATAAAGCTGATATAAATGGTGAAGAAAAAGGATTGTGCTATGAAGTTCTATACTTGGATGGTCTGACCTGGTCTAGGAGATCTAACATAAATAAATGTATTTGTATATTATAAACATATGTTAGTAAATAGATTGAAATACAGTGGTTATGGTTGTGAAGGGATTAGGTGTGACTTACACTCTCTACATAAGACAGGTCTGTATTATTTGGAATTTTCTCACAATAGCATGTATTACCTTTGTAATCAGACAAAGCTATAAATGTATATGTGTCTTTAAATAAATAGTTTTCACACCATGTTTGTGTTTCTCAAACTGGAGAAGAAGAGTGAATTTACTTGCTTGTTTGAGAGGAAAAACAAAGTGGTAGAGCTCGAGCTGTTATGGTAGGCAGAATTCTAAGATAGATTCAAGGGTTCCCACTCCCTAGTGCACACACCTCCCGGTTATTCAGTCCAACACAAATCTAGGCATTGCTGTCAAGGGATTTTCCAGATGTAATTAAAGTTTGTCATCAGTTGACTTTAAATTAGGAAGATCATTGTAGGTGGGCCAGACCTAATCAGGTGAGCTCTTAAACCTGTCAAAGACGTTAAAGCAGAAGAAACTCCTGCTCGTCTCGGAGTAGCATCTAATCACATTTGAACGTTGGTGACGAGGGCTTGAGGGTGGACCCTAGGAGCTGGGAGTCCCACCAACAAAAAAGAAAATGGGGACTTTAGACCTACAGCCATAAGAAACTGAGTCCTGCCAACAACCAGTGATCTTAGAAGAGGACTCAACCCCCAGATGACATCACAGCTGTGGCCAACACCTTGATTTCAGCCTGATGCCATCCTGACCCATACCTGGACTGCTGACCCACAGGAACTGTAAAATAATACATTTGTGTTGTTTTAAGTTGCTAAGTTTGTAGTAGTTTGTTACACAGCAGTAGAAAAGTAACATAGGTAGTATTGGGAATCAAAATTGCTCCTGCAGCCTAACATACTTGTCGCAGTCTGATACCTAGGAGTTTAAAAAAATAAATAAAAGAGATGTTTTACTGACCAAGAACCAGGTGGTAGAATAAAGCATGTGTCCAATTCAGTTATATTCCATCAATACCATCTTCCCCAGAAACTGTTTTTTCCTCATTGCTTCAAAGCAACTATGCATTTGCCTTTAAAACATTGACTTTTCCAGAAATATTTTACCATCTTTTCTTTTAGGGATGTAACTAATATAGCCCATGAGCATTTCTGTCCCTCTCCAAGCCATGGTAATGTTACCCTGTAGAACTTGTGTGGAATGTCCATTGCACTAGGCCCTTCAACAGGTTGACCGTGATGGTCTTAAACCCTGGCAATCATTCTCCATCTGCAGAACTACTACCTGTGCGTACAAGTCACCTGGGATCTCGTTAAAATGCAGGTTCAGATTCAGCAGGTCTGGGGTGGGCTTGAAGTGTTGCAATTCTAATTCCCCAGGGATGCCCAATGCTGCTTGTTCTTGGATGTACTTTGAGTAGCAAGGTCTTTATGGGATTGCTCTTCCAGGTGCATACCCCATTCGGGCCATTCTTACCTTCATGTTCATCCTCATGACTGCAAAGTACAGCCCATCTCTCTGTCACTTTTATTCTGCCCTCCAATCCTGTTCTCTTCTTCTTTTCCTCCCCTCCCCTCTCTAGCTATCCGTGTCTTCCCTTAGCCTCCCTCCCTTTCTCTTCTTTTATTCCTGGTAGTTATTATAACTTGGGGGCAAAATCTAAAGTTGTACCCTCTCAGCAAAAGAGTCTCAACCTCTTCCATAAAGCCTTGACTCTTTCATGCCAGAGAATAGTCCTTTCATCCATTTTAAATAAAGTGGCTCATGATAATTATTAACCTATAATAGCCAATTGTTTTCATTTCTATAAATCATCAAGGAAAATAAAATTAAGAATGTTTTATTCAGAGGAAAGGAAATCGCATCGCAAACTGCAACAAAGTGTGGAATTGAGGATTTTTTTTCCCCACTCTCTTTAGAGTATGAAGCTGAGCTGCCTCCTTTTCCAGAGGGATATAAAGTCAAACAAGAAAGTATAATTACTGTGAGTATCACACAGGCCCCCACCTAAAGGAAAGGCTCTTACATATAGCTGGTGAATGTCACTGTCATGAGTTAGAGAGGTGGGAAAGGGAAGGCACTGGAATTAAAACGAGAAATGAGGGCCGGTATTAGCTTTATTACAAATGGTGTGATTTAAAGGGCATCATATAACCTCTCTGAGCCTCAATTTCCATATCTGTTAAATGGAACAGGTAATCCTTGGCTAACTCACAGGACCTCTTTGGGATTCAAATGAGATCCTGGATGAGAAAGTTCTTCACAATGGAGTCAGCACATGTCCATGTTTAGGACAGTTGGGGGTAGAGCACAATTCCTAAGCATGCCAGCATGAGCAAAATAAAGACTGTGCTAAGAGGGCCAAGGACAAGTCAGCTAGGAAGAGGAGCCCTCGGGCAGTATACTTGGAGGAAATCAGGGACTTAATGGAGTTTAAAATAAAAGAGCAAGGCTCTGAGACATTGAACAACTTGAGCAGGCTCACAGAGATGGGACCAAAACCCAAGTGTCTAGACTTCTAGTACATTATTGCAGCTGCCACTATTAGAGATTCTTGTGTCTTAGAGATTCTTGTGTCTAGGAAATTACGTGGCCTGTAATTGTTCTTTTTTTGTAGTATCCTGTTCTTGCTTTGGGGATGCAATACTTTCTCAAATTTCTCTGCAGATAGCAATTACAGCTCCCTTTCCTAAGTTGTTTGTGTTTCTTCCAAAGTCAGTCTTTGTAGATCTTGATCTTTGTCTCTTTTGTTATTGATGTTCTTGATCTATGTAGCAAAACTTTATTCAAAATTTAAAATGGGGGTCTGAGTGGCTTTTTCTATGTAGCTGGTATGATTTTCTTCTATTGTGACTGTGGGTTTGGCTTCTGTGAGTCTCTTCTTTGAATACAAACACTGGGAGCCCTTGAGGAGTTATCATCTACTGGAAGACTTTTCTTCAGGGTTAGCAAGCAGGGAGCCTCCAAATTATTGCAGCATTTTGGAGTTCTGATGGGACAAGAGGGCCCCATCCTCCAGGGCAATTTCCTCTTATGGATTCTGGGCTGCTATTCCTTCTCTTTCTTATTTGATGACAGGCTTCACCCCTGCCTGTTTTGGAAATGATTCCAAATCTTCCATCCACTGATGATCCTCTTTTCTCTCTTAGGGATTTATTCCTTGATTGTCATTTTAGGTGTCTCAGAAGGGAAGAGGGACAAAGATTTATACTCATTATGCCCTTTGAACCTGAAGTTAATACAGAGTTTTATCCTTTGTTAGGTTATAAAAGAAAACACAGTTATTTAAACTATTTATATGAATTGATTCCTTCCCCAATATCCCCCCATTAGGTTTCACCATTGGAGGAAACGGTTTTCCATGGCTTCAATACAGAGCACTTTTATTCAGCTCCTCATTTGACCACAGATTCACATATACCCTGTCCTAAAGTTAAACTGGAAACAGTCCATCCAAAAACATGTAAGTAAGGAAGTGAAATTTTTTGTTTTGTAATTTGGGGCTTGTAACATTGCAAAACCACAGGACGGGGATGGGTGGACAGACCTCAAGGAGACCACATAAATAGGAAAGAACATGTTCTTGTTTTAATTTTTTTTTAATGTCTATTTAACTTCGAGAGAAAAAGTGAGTGTGAGTGGGGGAGGGGTAGAGAGAGGGACAGAAGATCTGAAGCAGGCTCTGTGCTGACAGCAGAGAGCCCATCACAGAGCTCAAACTCACAAAGCACGAGATCGTGATCTCAGCTGAAGTCAGACACTTAAATGAATGAGCCACCCAGGCACTCCTAATTTTTATTTTTAAGAGAAATATCCTTTATCTCACTGTTTTATCTTTAAGGTTGAAATATAATAAAGACGGTAACTAACAGCAAGCATACTTTGATTCTACATTGATTAAAATCAACAAGAGGAAAATGTAAAAATTGGAAGAAAATATCACGCTGCCCTGCATTGTGGGTTGGAGCCAGAGATCTAGACTTTCTATATCTCCCTAGACCCAGTTCCTCTGGCGCTCCCTGGCACCAGACCTCTCCTTCCACTCTGATCTAGTTCTCCCTGCTAGTGTGCTTCGGGCCTTGACAACCACCACCACCATTACTGTGGCCATAAGGCCCTAGACATCGTACCCCCACCCTGTTCCTCTCTGGCCTCATTGCTACCATTTCCCTTGCTTTCCCGCCAGCCACACTGGCCTCCTTGCTGTGTCTGTGCCCCTGACCCTGTGCAAGGCCCCATCTCTGTCCTTGCCAGTCTACAGAGACTCAGAAAGATATTTAAAGTTCAAAAATACAGCCCAACTCAGCAGTCTGGAGTAAAATGTAACATTTAAGATCATGTTATTTCATGGACGGTATCTTTTTTTGGTTCAGAAGCAAATGTTTTTCCCAGATACATTTGGGCCATTTGGGATTTTCCGTGGGATTTTTTTTGTTTGCTTTAGGTTCCCCCAAGGAATATTTGGAAACGTTCATCTTTCCAGTTCTGCTTCCCGGAATGGCTAGCCTGCTTCACCAAGCAAAGAAAGAAAAATGTTTTGAGGTCAGTTGCTTTGTGGGGTTTCTTTATTTCTGAATGCTCAGTAATTTATTTTTGTCAGATGGTGCCTCATTATGTCAGTACCATCAAGTAATTGTTCTCAAAACAATCCCTTTGGGAGGGAAAGCTGTGTTTTGGTCACTCACTCCACTCCAGCCATGACACCTAGTTGTGCACACATGCACTGCCATCTGTCTGGCCACTTGGCTCTGGAGGGCTTTTCCGCCTTCTTGGCCTCCCTGCCTGCCTTTCTCCTGGGTGATTGGCATCTACCAGGTTTATCGAGTCTTTCACTCTCATTGACTGTGTTTGTGTGCCAGATTAAGCTCTCCTCAAATTTTATCTGACTCTGGATTGGTCTTTCCCCCTCTGGCTTCTTGCTACTCCACCTCATGCACAGTGCCATGCATGTAGCTTGCTTCAGGAGAGCTTGGCACACAGTGAGTGCTCCATAAGCATTAGTCATTGTCACACTGCAGCCAGTTATGTGTGTGAATGGAGTTCCAATCCTGCACGCCCTCCTGTAAACCCCCTTATGGAGGCTTCTCCTTTTCTACAGCTGACAGGATACTTATGGGGGGGAGGTGTTCCCTGCACAGTTTTGAAGACTAGAATTTTGGATGGCCCATGTGAAGAGAGTAGAATAGCCACAATATTTAATATTGACCAAGTGCTTTGCTAAGTGCTTTACCATCCATGATTTCATGTATCCCTAGCAACAGCCCTGTGAGATTCCTTCTGTTAGCGTCGTCTGCATTTTGTAGATGAGGAAACAGAAGAACAAAGAGGTTTATAATGGTGATCAGGGATGAATGGCAGATTTGGGATTCAAATCCAGGTTAAATGATTCAAACTGATACTTAAAAGATTGGCAGTAACTACAGTGCAAACCCCAATCACTTTGACACATCCCAGGGTCTTGAGAGCATTTTCACAGTTAATGGTTTCAGCTGCTTGGTTGCCCTTCAGCCCAGAGCCTCTCTCTGAGAAGTGGATACTGCCCAGATAGTGCTTTTATATACTGAGGAGACACCCCTACCCTAGGTAATCTTAATTTCATCCCTCCCAAACACTGGGAGCTGGAGGCTGTCCTCTGAATAGTTCCAGGAAACACTGATTTTTTAATCCTTATCTGTTTTCTGAAGACCAGATTGTTACTTGCCCTAGGTTATAAAATCTGAACTGCTTCCACTTCCTACATTTGTTCAGTTGCTCATTTGGCTTTTGAGGACTTAATTTTTGTCCCCTATTCATAAATGACCTTCTCCTCAATGCGGTGTTAACAGGTGCAAGGTGCAGCCGGCTAGAATGGTAGTAAGGCCAGGGGCCAGAGAGCAGAGCCGTGGCCTGACCCTGCCACTGTCAGGGGGCTTTGTCTCCTGGCTTCAGGTCCTGCTCCCAAATGAGGGAGGCCACACAGTCTCACAAGTCACATTTCAGGGATCTTTCTTTTTAATCTTGCTGTTGGCCAAAGTGTGTTAAGTGTGCTGTGCCTTTTATTAGATTGAACAAAGGATAGAGCACCATGATTAAACAGTGAAATGAGCACAGTGGAATAGCCTTTGTTTGATATGTGTAAAGAATATCTGCACACAGATTGTCACCCAAATTGAGTTCTGTTCAACAAATATTTATTAAGCCCTACTATGTGCTGATTATGGGACCAGACCCTAGGGAGGGACCCAGAGAGGACCAGATATGGCCTTGTCCTCAAGAAAACCATAAATGAGCAGTAAATCCTTCAGTAGCTGGAGTTTCTTTTTTTCCCTAAGCTTTGTATCTGTTCTTATTTCAGCCTCTGAAATAAGAATGGACGTGGAGAAAAAACAAAAGGGGATCTAGGTGCTGTGAATGCACATCTAGACTTTAGCACAGTTCTATTGAATCGTGCAGACTTCGTTCTAATTTCTTCAGCTGTTATCCTTCTAACACACAAAATCAGTTAAAAGGGCAGTAATTAAGATTTCACATGGAGGGTTCTATATCTAATGTTTGTCCGTAAATAATTTTGTAATGAGGGGGCTAGAAAGAGTTTCTAGCCTCTAGGCAATGATAAAATGCTTTTAAAGAATCAGAGAAGTTTCTGTTTGTGTTAGAGATTAATGAGGCATCTTCGTGCCAACTCATATTTCATCTTTGACATCCTGCAGATGAGCCGCCGCTGGGACTAAGTGAAACTAGTCTAAACATCAAATGCTGCAGGGTGCTTGAATGGAGCATTAAAGTTTAAATGTTGTAATGAACACTCAGGGAATGTAGAAAATGTGAGTCCTTCAAACTGTTAGCTCGCAAAATTGATAAATTTAAAGGCAGCCAGACACACTGGAGTCCAAAATCCTGCTCAGCCACTTCCTTGCAGTAGGAAACCTTGGGGATCTGTGAGCCTCAGTTTCCTCACCTCTTAAAGGGATAACCAGGAAGATGAAGGGAGGCATTTAATGATGTTCATTGGCACCAAGAAAGGTTAGCTTCCTACCCTGCCTGCCCTCAGGCTCTGCCCAGAAGTTCAAGTAATTTCAGTACTACAAGTATGCAAGACGGATGAATTACCATTAACTTCTTTCATTTCCTGCTTTAGGATTTCTTAATTAAATCTGATTCCCTCCTTTTTTACCCCCTGGTCATGTAGCCTTTTGTGGGTTATTTTTGAAGGCTTGAAAATTACATCAGCATTTGTCAGACCCAAGTGGAGCTCTTCTTATCCAGATCTGCACAACAGATTTGCATTTTCTCAATTCAGCTGTTCCTCACATCCTGTCAGTGGGAATAGATGCTTAAACTGAATGATAACCAGCCTCCAGCCAAAATTACATAACTGGAGCATTCTTATCTGTCACCCACAACTGAACTTGCATCCAAATGACTCTTAAACAGCAGCGTAATTCATTGTTTATTTGGGCCATTCAAATTATATCTTGAAACAGCATTCATATTAGGTCGCTCCAGAAATAATTGCTGATTTGTATTTTGCCCGTAAAATGCTGACTTATAGTTATGTTCCTTTGCTTTCATTATTTTCCATTTTGTTCTATGATGTAGTTCCAGCAGTGCCCAGGATGTGGTAGGGAATCACTAAATATTTGTTGGATGAATCAATTAATATGGTTCCTCAAAAGTGAGGGCCAACTTTTAAGATAGCAGTTAAGTTATGGGAGCACTTGTCAGTTTGCCCTAGCTATTATATCCAAGAGTTAATTTACTAACTGTACCTGCAGTGCTTGAGTTTACTGGCTCTGAAGGAAGGTAGACTGTAGGGAGGCTGCCCCTAGAGCTAGGGCCGAATAAGGAGCCACTCCTCTAAAATTGAAGGGGCCTCCTAGCTGATGGAGAGCCAGGGAGATGAACAAAAAGCTGGAAATGAAGAATAGTAGTTTCTAGCACTTTAGGGCCTTTACTTTGTACCAGACATTGTTCTTAGCATTTTATCTGCAGAAAGTTTCATCTTCCCAGCAGCGCTCCAGAGTGGATGCTCTTTTTTTTTTTTTTTATGTTTGTTTATTTTTGAGAGACAGAGACACAGAGCATGAGCAGGAGAAGGGCAGAGAGAGAGGGAGACACAGAATCCAAAGCAGGCTCCAGGCTCTGAGCACAGAGCCCGACACAGGCCTTGAACTCACAGACTGGGAGATCGTGACCGGAGCCGAAGTTGGACGCTCAACCAACTGAGCCACCCGGTGTGCCCTTATTGCCATCTTAAAGATTAATCAGCAAGCTCAAGGGAATGACTACTTAGCAGTAGAGCCAAGATTCAAGCCAAGCAGTTTACTTCCTGAGTCGAGGAGTTTGACCACCAGACCATGCTGGTGATCAGTCCAATGGTTTACCAAAAGCACAGGCCAGATTCTGATACAAAAGATAGGTCTGGAAGCTGTGGAGAAGAGCAGTGGGAAATGAGGCAGATCTGGGGCAGTCAGTGACCCAGACCAGGCCTCATGCAGACCTCACGGGGCAGGATCCTTTATTTAGATTGGCCTCGTGAGTACTGTGACCCTCCAAGAGAGAGAGAGAAAGAGAGAGAGAGAGAGACAACCATCAGCGACACCTAACTACTATGCCATAGAGCACTTGGCCAAGTAAACACACACACACACACACACACACACACACACACACAAATTAGGAAGTCTATGGTACATCATCCAGTGCTATAGAACCCAGCCTCCAGAATCAGGCCGACTTTGCCTCTAGGCTCACTCTGCCCCACACAAGTTGTGTAAATTTGATGATTTTGATTTTGATCAATTCAAAATTCAATTCCTTTATATGTATCATTTTAAATATTATGAATTGAACTCTGGTGAATTTCATAAAGATCCTAATCAAACAGTTTGTCCATCATTAGATATTATAATCTTTTGGTTTTTTTAATGTTCATTTATTTTGAGAGAGAGAGGGAGACAGAGCACACACACACACACGAGTGGGGGAGAGGCAGAGAGAGAGAGAGAGAGGGAGAAAGAGAATCCGAAGCAGGCTCCACGCCATCAGCGTAGAGCCCAATGTGGAGCTCAATCCCATGAACTATGAGATTATGGTCTGAGCCAAAATCAAGAGTTGGATGCCCAAACAACTGAGCCACCAGATGCCCTCATATTTTAATCTTTTAAGTGCCCAGATCAAAATTCAGCTTTATTTCTCTAGTCCTGACTTTTTGGAGATAAAATTGGAAGTCTAAACCTTAAGTGAATGATCTGCAGTAATTATCTGAGCCTTAGGATTAGATAAAAACCTGTACATGTCCTAAGATGAGTTTAGCAAGTGGAATAGATTTATTTACTCTTTTTCCAGATAATTGTTTTCAATTATGTGTAAAAAGGTCCTAGAGAAGATGTAGGTGACACCTGTAGGACACTAAAGTGACGTTCTATTAAGAAAGTATATGGACCTTTTAGTGTCGCCATGAAAATAGCTGGGTGCTAGCAGTATCTTATACAGTGTTAAACATATTCTGTGAAAGATAAAGAATGGGAAAGGATTACTTTGTACAAATAGTTGGTGGAATT